GCGTCAAGCGATTGAGAATCAATATATGGAGAAAAATAATGTTTAAGAGAATAACGCATCCCTTGTTCCACAGTAGGGATATTCTCTCCTCGTTCCTGATGCTAACATTAAAAGCGTTACTTACCGTTCAAGGGAAAAGCTTTCCCATCGGAATCATAAATATTATAAAGCCATTAATTTTTATAAATATGAAGACTAGGGCAGGCATAATAATCCTATAAGCACAAGGACGGCGATTATAGAAATATTATAAACATAATTATTCTATAAGGGTGATAATTAAATATCACAAATATTATACAAGTTATATAAATATTATAAATCTAAAGAATGTAATTTTTTGCGATGGGATCTTGTAATTCTTCCCTCTGCTTTAGGATCTGGACCAACCAGAGGAGGAGGAAACTGGCAAGTTTTCATTAAATACTTCCGTTTGTTAAATACTTTGAATAGGTATATCTTTTTAGTCATTAACTGCATCTTTTATTGTACAGTATTTTGATTGTTGTAAGCCGCCCAGAGACCTTTGGGTAGAGTGGGCGGCATAAAAGTTAAAATGAATGAATGAATGGATGGATGGATGGATGGATGGGTGGATGGATGGATATGAATGGATGGATGGATGGATGGATGGATGGATGGATGGGATGGATGGAGGATGAATGAAATGCTTCACAGATCTAGAAAAGGATTAAGGGAGCTGCTCTTTTCAGCTCCTGCTCCGTCCTTTGTGTGTGTCTCTTTGTGTAACCAGCGTGTGTAACAACAAACAAACAAACAAACCTGTTTGTTTAAATCAGTGTAACAACCCTGTATCTTTCTTTTCCTCTGGGAACCACAGACATTACTCTACACAGGGCATCTATGCCTTGGTTTATTGTTTTTTTAAGGCTGGGGGGGGGACTACAGCACCCATGAACCCCCACCAGGCGGATGGGAGCTGTAGTTGAAAGGCATCTGGAAGGCAAAGCCTCTCCAGGTCCTGGGTTCGAGAGCCAGGCTTGCCACTTGGAAAAAGTTCTGGTCCCGAGTGAGACTCAAAGCCTTGCTTTGGGTCAATGTATGTTTCCGTCCTCCCTGGCCAACCCTGCAGGGGTGTTGGGGGGATAAAGTAGGGGAAAGGTGGAGTCGTGGATGCTGGGCAGCAACGAAGCGTGCTGTTGCATCCGAAAGGCTACCAAATTTTGCATTTGATGCAAAGGTGCAAAAAAAAACCCCAACAACTTAAATTTGCAACCCAACTAATCTGGTGCGCCATGCGTGCATTTAAAACTCATTTTGTATTTTTTTTAATTAAAATAAAATAAAAATAAAAAAAAATAAAACTCATTTTATCCCATTTCACGCTCCAGAACTCTCACCTGCTAGAACGCGCATTGACCCACTGGCGCATGCGCACCCCTTCCCCTCTTTTATGCTAAATAGCCCCTGCCACCGTCCAATCGCGTCCTCCGCCTTCCCGAACTCGGGGGAGGGGGGCGCGGCCTCCGAGGAACGGCTCCGCGGGGTCCAAGTGCCCGTTGGGTTCTCTGCGCCGGGACAAATGCGAATTCACTCCTGCCGTGTAGACGCAACGCCCGCTGTCAAATGCATCGGGCATTTCCTTATTTTTCATGCACCCTTTTTCCCCCCCTGCCGTTTCCTTTCGCTTTTGCAGGCTATTTCAATTAAACCCAACGCTGTGGAATAACATATGGAATATGGAATACTATTTTTAGTATATTTTTTTACATTCTGGAAAATCCGTGCAAAATCGAGGGACCTGATATTATTTCATTGTATTATTATTTTTTTTTGCAGAGTATTATGTTTCACTTGCTGGCGCTTCTAATGCCAGGAGAAAGGGGACTGGCGATCTTGGAAAAAAATTTATTTCTTTGCAAAGAAAAAGCCGCCCCCACCCCAAATTCCATGCATTTCCTGTTCCTCTCAGGACCTTTCCTTAAGTCTTTTTGCTTCCGATCTGTTTTTGGTCTTTATTTCTGTTGACCATCCTTAGCAAGGGGTGTGTTTGATTCTTTCAAATCTTTGTACGTTTCACTGTTTCTGGCTTTTAAATGTTCCCTTTTAAATGACGAAAGCCGCCCGGGTCCTTTTTAAGGAGAAGAGTCCGGTTACAAACAAACAAGCAAAAAAATAAAATAAAACAAAACCACCTTTTATTGGTGGGGGAAATTCTGATCCCCCTTTTTTGTATTTTAGATTTAGCAAAGGAGACCTTTCTGTCGTTAGCCAACTCCGAAAACAATGCAATAAACAAACAGCCTAGGAAATGTATATATTTCCTGCCCGTCGGATATACTGTATATAAATAACACAAACACGTGTTTATGTATGTATGAATGCATGCGTGTCTGTTGACTAAATTGTCTCCACTTTTTGGAAGGGGTCGTTTAAAGACGCGTCCCCGGCCGGGCTCTTTGGCTGCGCGCCTTTTGCGCGCCCTTTGCGCGCCCCGCTGGCTTTGCGCCTCCCGGCCGGAGCCAGCCAGGATCGGCCGCCCCCAGCCGCCCCCTTTCGGTCTCCGGATCTGGGCGGGGAGCTTCCCGCAGCGGCCGGCCGCCCTCCTCGCTCGCCCTGCCCGTCGGAGAGGCTGCGATCCAGGCGCCGGACAGAGAGAGAGTCAGAGACGCTCGTCTGGCCGGCGCAGGCAGAGGAAGCGCACCGAGGATCGGGCCCCCCCACCCGTGCAGGATCGGGTAAAAGGGACAGGAAGGGGCCTCTAAGGGGGTGTCAGCCTTCTACATCCCCCCCCCCACCCC